CTTCAGATGCAAGTCTTGCATCTGAAGAAGTGAGGTTCTTACCCACGAAATCTTATGCTCCCAGTACTTCTGTTAGTCTCAAAGGTGCCACAGGACCCTCTGTTGCTTTTTACAAGCTAAGCAAGCGTGCAGACATGGGACCCCCTGCTTCCTGCTGCTCCTTATCGAAGAATCAGCTCCTGCAAACCCTGCTGGTTCCACTAATGAAACCCCACGCCCCATCCCAGCTGTGGAAGGCAGGGCTAATTGTATGGGCCTGGCCAGCTCCAGGCCTCTGGCTGTTAAAGGGGCTGGCCACCCTGTTACAGTGCCCAGCTGCCACTGAAATGCAGTCGGAGTTGGGCAGCTAACTTGGGCTCCTTTGAAAACCCAGTCATGGTTATTTAAGGGCATTACTTTTACTTTACAATTATTATTGCTCTTCTACCTTGTCCTTCCATGTAGAAGGCATCTTGCTACAAATGCTCAGCTTGGAGAACATCCAGAAACATCTTTAAAGCAGTGGTCCCCAAACTGTGGGGAGCGCCCCCTAGGGAGGAACATTCGGGGGGGTATGTAGTGGGCCAGCCCCTACAGGTAGCAGGGAGGGAGCGCCATGCTTCTGTCCCCGCTCTGCTCCCAGACCAACTCCACCCCCAGCCTTGCTCCTCCCCCAACCCTGTCAACCCCCAGTCCCGCTCTGTCTCCAGCCCCGGGCCAGCCCCCATAGGGATTGGGGTGGGAGCACCATGCCTCCAGGCCAGATCCGCCCACAGTTCCACTCCACCCTCAACCCCAGCTCCACCCCCATCCCAGCTCTGCTGTCATTCCCTCTCCATCCCAGACCAGCTCCTCCCCTATCCCCAGTTCCGCCCCAGGCTCTGCCTTCAGCCCAAGCTCCTCTGCTGAGGGAGCCTTGGCTGTGCAGTAATGGGTGGGGGGAGCACAGGCAGATTCCATTACTGGTAAGGGGACACAACTGGGAAAGTTTGCGCACCATTGGTCTAAAGACAGAGGTGCAGGGAGAACGTACTGAAGATGACTCTTCCCAACTGTTTTTCCGTGAAGTGAGCAGAGTTGGATGGGACTTTTTGGCTGGAACATTTTTCTGCTGGAAAATGTTGATTTGTTGAAATCAAAACGTTCTACAGGAACTTGACAAAATTTCAGTGGACCCAGCCAGGGTTCAATCCAAAACCTGGTTCATACCAGCTCAGATGTCCTGCTCTTCAGCAGCCAGCCCGCTGGGCTGAATGGGAGCTGATTGGCTAGAAACCCAGGCTCAGATGCTGGCAGTTCCTTGACAGCCCAGGCTTCCAGGATCCCCAGTCTGGGGTAGCTGGCTGGGCAGGCCCCAGCTCCCAGTCTCCCCGAGGAGTTAGGAGGCTGGTTTCCTGTCAAGGGCAGCTCCCTGAGGACAGGGGCAGCCCAGCAGGATGGCTCCTTGGATAGGCAGGTTGCCTAGTTTCCCAGCTGGAGCAAAAACAACGAGGAGTCCTTGTGGCACCTTAGAGACTAACAAATGTATTTGGGCATAAGCTTTCATGGGCTAAACCCACTTCATCAGATGCATGGCGTGGAAAATACAGTAGCAGGTATAAATACACAGCACATGAAAAGATGGGAGTTGCCTTACCAAGTGGGGGGATCCGTGCTAACGAGCCAATTCAATTAACAGTAGAATACCAAGGGAGGAAAAGGGAAGAATACCAAGGGGCAGCCATTCTGCAATACCTGTAAATACCAGCTGGGGCAGTCATTCTGCAAAAAAATTTGAGTTGATTTTTCTTTGGTTTGTTTTACCCTGCTGGCGACTGAAACATTTTCAAAATCCCAGAATTTTTCACAGAATGGAAAATGCCTCTCCACTCAGATGGAGGGATAGATAAGCCCACCATAGTTTTCCCTGTTATCAGATAACTGCACAGATTAGGTTAAGCCCTAGCTAGTGGACCCACATAGCTGTGTTCTGCATTCATCCTTGGTCCTAAAAGTTCCATGAATTCCATTTCTTTTTTTGTTTGTTTTATGTTCCAGAGGTAAAGTTGTGCTGGGATACACAGAAACTGAGCTCTGCATGAGAGGCTCCGGGTACCAGTTTGTCCATGCCGCAGACATGATGCACTGTGCAGAGAATCATGTGAAAAGTGAGTTTGGGGCCGAGTTGTAAGATCAAAGATCCCAACTCAGCTAACATGATTGTATTGTCCTATTTTATGCAGGTCTGGTCTACTCAGGGAAAATTACTGGCATAATTATACCAGCATAATTATAGTTCTTTGTATGCTAGTCCCTTTGTGTATTCCACATGTGGGTGCGCACCACGCGACTGAGTCTGGAAGTTTTTCCAGGCAGTGTCCAATGACCTGCATATGCACAGTATCTTCCCTCGTGCTTCCCAACCGAAGGTATAGGGGGCAGTACGGGTCGATACCTCTCCAGTTCACTCTTATGGCCGCATGGCGTGAGTCAGAATCCTGTCCTCCTTCGCTCTTGCAATCTCAAGAAGAGTTATGGTACATATTGGCTGCAAATAATTATCCTGTAGTTTAGAAATCTTAGTTGTATGTCATATAGTTTAGAACAGCTTAGTAAACCCCTCCCCTCAGTCGGGGACTGTCTTTGTCTTGGGGACTATGCCCAGGTTCCTGGGCTTCAAGAACTGCATCTCCTGCCTCTGCTCTTTTTCTGTCAGCGATGATCAATGGTGATTCTACTGTCTGGGTGAGGCGCATAGGTTTGAGAAGTGTCCTTCCTGCCCAGAACCAGAGAGGCCCAAGGAAGGACTCAGGCTGAAGAAGCACCTAATAGAAGAAGCTTTGAGGCCCTGCTTTGATCTGGGCCAAAGGGACCTCCCTGTACTTTGGCTTCAGCTGACCAGCAATGCCCCTCCAAGCACGAGCCATGGAGCAGAACCACTGGCACCAAAGCCCAAGGACTCAGGACACAGGGCTCCCCATGTGAGTAAGAAACACACTCATGGGCATAAGGGCAGATCCCCGCAGTGGACTGCCCACAAGGAACATGTTTGCTTCCCAAGCCATGCCTGGTCAGGTGAGACGTCATATACAGATCCCATGGAACTGGTGCCAAAGCCCCCTGCGCTGGAGGATAAGGCAAAGAAGAAAAGGGATCCATCAGTCCCAACAGTGAGGACAGTACCGGGTCAGAAAGACAGGCCAATCCCAAGCATGAGTGCAGGTCCAGATGTACCATTGGTACTGCCTCAGCAATTCAGAGAGTGGCCAGCTCTGATGGATAAAGCGGGTCCCTCTGGTGCCTTAGTGGGAACTCCGCAGACTCTGGGTGTACAGAGAATTTTCTGACACCAGAGGATGTCTTTCTCCCCCACCCACAGTCTCCACTTCTGTCGGACCCTGCAGTTCTCAGGGAAGTTCTTAGCTGGGAGGCCAAACTGTTGTTGCTGTCACAGGAGAGACCCCATCCCGATCCATCGGACAGGAGCATCTCAGTACCGACAGCACCACCATTTCTGATGGAACCATCTTCAGACTCGGAGGAGTCAGAGGCAATAGCTCCACCGATATCTCCAGGAAGGTGCAGGAGCCTAGACAGACAGCCACAGCACCCCGATCCTCTTGACTACGACACCCCCCTGCCCAGGGATACCTGGTCATTTCCCTTGGGTATCACCACAACCGATAAATCCCTTCTTCTGGCTTACTGGGGCCCCTGGGATTCTCATAGCAGATGCCCAGAACTTTCACAAGGGTCCTACCATTCTTCCCCCTCTCGTCAACCAGTTCCATCCGTGTATGAGGAGGAAGAAACAGTGCCGGTACTGCCAGTTCTGACCGGAGCCTCCTCATGACAGGACGACGTGGTCATCCAGTTGCCACCCTCTCTTCAAGATCTAGTCCAAAGGGTGGCCGATGACTTGCAAATCCCACCGGAGGAGGCCTAGGGCTCCCAACACCATCTCCTGGACATCTTACAGCCACAGGGACTATCCCATCCAATAAATGAGGTCATCCTGGGACTGGCTAGAACGGTTTGGCCTGCTCCAGCATTGAGTACCCCCACCCTGCAGTGAGCCGAGGGGCATTGTTTTGTACTGCCCTGTGAGGTAGCAGGGCTCCCTGGCCACTCTCCTCCCCCTCCCCCCGGTCCCACTGTCTGTTGTTTGCCTTCTTTTCTCCCCCAGTTGGCGGCACTTGGGGGAGTTCTCTGAGGCAACCGCACATGGGCAGAGGGTTGGCTCCTCCTTTTTCCTTCCCCTTGCAAAAGAGGAGGATCTGCCTGGAAAGAGGGCCAGTCTCTCAGACAGCCCCTGGATATTCAGCTCTAAGGGGTTAAAATCCTAGAGTCTATTGCTTCTATTGCTCCTTCACAGGGTTTGCCTTCTACCACTCTTCCTGGGGCATATTGCTTTGCTGTCAGTCAGGGCAGCTTCGGGAGTGGTGCATCTTGTGGCTGTTCCCTCCTTGGCTAGGACCAACAGTCTTTGGGTGGAGCAGCCTTATTCCTGATCACTGCCCCTTCCTATGGTAAATTCCCCCTTTTAAGCTCCTCCTCCTCCAGGCTGAACAAGTCTTGAAGGTGCATCTTGTTACCATGGAACCGGCCCATAAGAACTCGTTAGTTTCCTTCATATCTGAGTGATGGTGTGTCCCTTCACATGCCTCACCCCTCAATATGGGAAGGCCATTTGGGGTTGGGTTGTCTCCATCGCCAATCTCCCGTGAAAAGAAATTGGGGTTTGTGTGGTCCTTTACCGCTCAGTGTTGTACTCGGAAACTATAGTGTTGTAGTGCAAGCTACCATTTCATCATAGGAGGGTTCATATCCCCCGTTGTCTGGATCCAGCATAGGGGCGCATAATCAGTGATCAGGGAAAAGGGGCTACACAACAAGTAATACCAATTAACTGCCCATTGGAAAGTTAATACTTCCTTGTCAATAACTGAGTACGACTTTTCCCTAGGGAATAGCTTCCTACTTAGGTATAGGACCAGGTGCTTTTCTCCTTCAAAGTCTTGTGAGAGGATGGCACTGAGACCAACATTCGAGGCATCTGTGTGTAGTATGAATTCCTGAGAAAAATCAGGGCTGAAGAGCACAGGTGCCCGGCATAGTTGTGTTTTCAGTTTCCTGAATGCTTCCACGCATTTCCTATCATAATAGATTTTCTTAGGATTGTTGTCAGGGCTGGCCTTACCATGAGGCAAACTGAGGCGGCCGCCTCAGGTGCAAGACTGGGGGAGGGAGGCACCACTAGGACTCAGAGTGTAGAAAATTGTGTCTGCTGCTGGTGCATATGTATTCTCTCTGCTCTAGATGCACAAAGATGGTGGAGTGCTACGCTGGAGGAAGGAGGGCACAAGAGACATAACAGGCAGGAAGGAGAAAAGGTGAGGGAATAACAGAAAGCAGCAGGAACTGCAGGGAGAGAGAGGAGGAGGAGCCTCTTATGTACCTCTCTAGCACCCCCAGGAGCCTGGACTGATTAACACCAGCTTCTCAGGGAGCTTCCTGTTTCCTGCTGCTTCCCTGAACCCACTTGAGAAAAACAGGCGGTCAACTGAAATAGTAGGAACCAGTTAGGCCCTTAAGACGCTGATATCTTCCTTCACTCAGGCCCTGCTACCAGCCTGCTTATTTGTCCCCTTCAACTGAGTGTTGAGAGCCACTATAGCTGGCACAGAACAGCAGTCGTGAATGAAAGAATACTGTTTTTGTTGCTAACTCTTCCAGTCTAATGTTCCAGCCACATTGGGTACTACAGGAACAAAGGATAATCCAGGACTGAGGACCCACTTGAGCAGTAGCCTGAGGGACTTCCTTGTACTGCATGGGCCACAGCAAGTGAAAAATTTCATGTTCCCCAAAGACAATGAAAATAGACGTTTCCATCCAACACATTACTGGTGTGAAATCCCCAATGGTGACAAAGGGGAGAGGCCATGGCTTATTTACTCAAAAACCCAGAATGCTGCATACTGTTTTTGTTGCAAACTCTTCCAGTCTAATGTTCCAGCCACATTGGGTTCTACAGGAACAAAGAACTGGAAAAATCTGCTAGAAATCTGGCATGCCATGACAAGGCAGCAAATCACCAGAGAGCATTCCATAGGTGGAAAGAGCTTGAGATGAGACTAAGGTTAAAGGCCACCATAGATGATCAGCATCAAGAGAAGATGCATCAGAGTCTCTTTACTGGCTAAATGTTCTGAAAAGGCTCATTGCCATTGTGAGAATGCTTGCTACCCAAAATCTAGCACTGCGTGGCACTTCAGATCAGCTGTATGTGCCAAACAATGGAAACTTTCTTAAAATTGTGGAGCTGATGGCTGAGTTTGATGCTGTACTCCAGGAGCATCTAAGAAGAGTCACCACCCAAGAAATGTACACACACCACTACCTTGGAAAAACAATTCAAAATGAGATCATACAGTTACTGATGGCAAAGGTGGCTCTCCAGGTTGTGGTGGATGCAGCTGATACTGCATCCCGGTCCTTGGCCACAGGTCTGGTCATTCATAGAGACTCTTGGCTCCAGTCATCAGGCTTCCTAGAGAGGTCCAAAATACTTTCAGGACCTCTCTTTTGATGAGGCCAATCTGTTCAATGAAAAGACAGATGAGTCTCTGCATTCCCTGAAGGACTCGAGTTCCACCCTGAAGTCCCTGTGAATTTGCAGTCTAGTCCCCAGGAGAAAACATCCATAACAGCCCTTCAGACCACAGCTTCCTTCCTCATACTACCAGCATCCACCTGAACCTCATCGCCAGTGACCCAGATCTCAGAGAACCCTTTTCCAGGCTCCAACCCCTACCACAGGGGTAGTCAATTATTTTTTGTCAAGGTCCAGATTTCTTGGTCAAGGTATAGTCAAGGTCCAGACTCCAGAGAAAATAATAATTTTAAAAAATTATAACAATGATAAGTAAATAAGATTTTGGGGTCTATTCAAAAGCTTTGAGTGGTCCAGATTTGGCCTGTGGGCCACCTATTGAGTACCCCTGTGCTGCCACATCCTCCACATTCTCCACTTACTTCCAACCGCAGGCCAAATTACACTTTTGACATACAGGTCAAGACCTGCATACCACCACCGATGCCGCCTAAGGTGCCATCCATCATCTTTGGAGACCACCTTTCTTTTTTCACCCACAGTTGGAGCAAG